AAGGAAATTACAAGAAAAACAAGAACTTCCCATGTGGTTACCGTTTTGACAAAGGTCATCAAGCATCAAAACGAACTCTAAGGGCTTGATTTCTGTTGCTATTTCATGCGTACAACATTTGGGAATTGAATTATCAAGTTTCGGAAGGACATCGGGCGGACACTACAACATATATGATGACAAGCGGAACACGTGGCGGTTGCCCCCTTTTCGATGCCATCCCAGATTAGCACTGCTTAGCGGTGCGCGCGAGTGTAGAAGGAAATGGTCTTTTCAGACTTTATACTTTAGATTCAATGTCCACTCATGTTTGAATCTGTAAACGTTTATAAAGTAGCTGTAGATTTTGGACCTCTAGCAAAGCAAACCCTTTGTATATTACAACACCCAGTACAATAACACGCTTAATTGTTGTTTTCTATTTCCTTTTTCACTTTATCAGAAAAGATCAACAACTTGTTATGCCACGGCCTATGAGGGCTAAGGTTCGGATATTAAAAATGAGAGCTCGATTGGTGGTTTTAGCCATGATGGTTTTCTTGACATATCTCTCTTATATTGTATGATAAGATGGTGTAGATACAGTAATTATAGGAAATTATCAGTATGGTTTTAGACTGAAGGACAAGTCTATTTTGTTGTCTCCAACAAAGCGAATAGTAGGACACGACGATATGTTTTCATACATGAATAATAATAACATGACTATACATAGAACATAGATTAAAGATTTTCCGTGAACTTTACAATACTCAAAACGTCCAAAGTAGACGTTGTCAATAATATAAAATTTAGATCAAGAAAGGCAGATGATATATTTTATAGMTATATTGTTGGCTTTGATAGTTTTAAGTACATTGTTCCAAGCGAAAATGTGCCTCAAATGAGATCACACAACGCTTAGATTTCTTGTTCTCTTTGAGAGAAAACTTTTTAATAAACAAAAATAGAAAACAGTAAATTATAGAATAACAAGAGCCTTACAATTAGACCTCTTTTGGGTTAATATTCCTGGTTAGAAGGCACAGATGTTTCTCAGGCTTTCCAATGTGGTGTTATATATTTCGAGCCTCGGGCAAATCGTTGTTCAAAGTCGGACGGCAAGCATTCTGGGAAGACCAACTCACATGTATGTCAGATTTAAAGATATTTCTTATCTTGGCTGCGYTGGAATCAGTCAAGAGGGTCCTTAAGAAATCTCATTGATTGTAACACGAGCCTAAGTTCTTTCGTCTGAAGGCTTGCTGTTTTCTTTAACTTGTTATTGTACCATGGCTATTATGTAGTGAAATTCTTGCTATACCGCGGAGAAAAGGTTGTAGCCCTATTTGCCTATGCAGTGACGCTCCACAAAGCCACATTTATGTTTTTCGAAAACCTTTAAATATCCCAGCGGTAGAGAAAGTCAGAATACCATTTTTGGAAGAGAAAGARAAGAAAAGAATAGAATAAAAAATATAATTTAATCAACCAGTTTTGACTTCAAAGCCATCTTTTGAAGGCTTTTCAGAAGTTTAGCACAAAACATTTCTAGCATCCTCTTTTGTGCTACACTAGTAATATTTTTCGAGTTTTGTTATTAAATTACTAAATTAAACGACTTCTGATTCCCATGTTTTCAATTTCGGATATTACATATTTCAATGGGGTTCTTAAAATCGATAAAAAAAATCAAGAGAAGTATATTCGATCTTTTTAGTCAATCTCTAGCTCACTGTTGGCTAGTAATCTTTGAATGATTTTTGAGAAAAAAAACTCAAGAATGATTTTGAAATAAAGGTCGAAGACAATACTAATAAGAAATGCGACGTCCCACTGGGTCGTCCGACCCCCGATTCCATTTCACGAATCTAACACCGAATCGCAAACCACACAATACTCGCAAAAACACATCAGCCAAACAAAMAGGGAATTACAGAGGTGTTTGAAATTGTTTTCCAACGACTTAGAAAGATAATAGCTGTGGATAGAAATGGTGAAAGCGGTCGATGCCGTGACTTGACGGTTCGGATTGTTTACATTAAGAAAACTCCGCGTTGGCCTTGAGGGAAGCACTCGTATAATTAAAAATACCTTGAAATTTACATGTTTGGTGTACTGCGATCTCGTCTCACAGCTGGAACTGACCCCTGATTTCCCCCACGGCGAGTTTGCGAGTTTCTGTATTCGTCTGGGTTGATTTATATATCGTAAATTCTACAAACCAAAGAAAGTAACTTTAGCAAGTCATTCGGTAATTCTTAAAACTCGCGTGGAGGTCGTACATTCTTGGTGGTAGCCCAATAATGATGTCATTGCATCRAATATTTATGAATTGCTTATGTGGATTTCCTAATGAAAAGATATGGAGTTTCTATCCCGTCGCGAGAAATCATTCGGGTCACGAAAGAAAAGATAGCGAAAAGTAAAGAAATTATAACTAGAATTAACCTCAACTATCAAAACACCATAGAACGACGGTATAAATACAGCCCCTAGTATGAATAAATGTAGTGATTTTGGATACATTTGCGATAAAGTTAGCCCTACACGACTGCTTGGTAACAATGACTGCGGTGGACTCCCAAAGATTCCGTCTGGAGCTGTTTCTGTTAATGGGACATTTAATAGACCCAAGTATTCGCATTATCGAGAGAAAAGGTTGAACTTTTCACATAACGATTATAAGAAAACGGCGCACACGAATGGATAAGTGTCATGGGTAGTAGACCCGCCCTCATCTAAGCCATCAATATAGTAGACTATTTAGGGTATCCACTAATACGACCTAGTCTTACAGTACAAGTGGGCTAAGCCTCGTCGAACAAGACCAACAACAGGGATACTGTACTACCACAATTAATCTGTTTATGTATTTAGCATTCTTTATTGATTTTGGATTTACGATGGACGGGAAGTTAGAGGTTTGCTTTGAACTTCCTTAACTTATCCTATAAGATACTTTAAAAAACACCTTCGAGCTTAAGCGCCAATTATTGTATTAAAATATCATTTTTTTTACTCTGTTTTGGGATTTTATTSGGTATGTTTTCGAGAAATTTCTTGTGGTATAATTGTTGTTGTTTATTTGTTTCTAAGGAGTTTTGACTCGCGTATTAGAGCAGCTTTTGACTTCCTGTGTGCCTTAAGGCGAAAAATTAAAAAAAATCACCTGCCAAATTCGTTATAGCTAAATGTGCTTTCGAGCTAGTTGATTGCAAAAAGCAAGCACTACTCGTTTAAAAACCGCAATTTGCGACAATAAAAGCTATCGAAATCTCCTTATAATAGAATGTTTACATACCACTTACATTGAGTACCTCATCAAATATTACTAAACACTAAAACTTCGATCAAATTACTGTTTATACAGAAATCCACTTTAACTGTTTGAACATATTTAAGTTGAAAAGTTTATCAAGTGCTTTAAGTTGTTCGCCATCCACCAGTAAGCAAGTGCAATTTGTACGGTTTCTATATGTTTTTATAATTTTGGGGTCTTGTTATCACTGCGGCGTAGACAGATACCTGCAGACCATACCTTAATCGCCTAACGGTCAGAGCTACACTCGACAAGTAATTGAAATATTACATAAATCAGCAGTTTAGAGGTCATTTTATGTTGTTAAACTCTTAACTTTTTTTACCTAATTAAAATTATCTCCAGAAATGAGCGAAAAACATTTAAGTATACGCTTTCTTGAGGATGCTAATCTAGCGAAACCAATAATTCTTGCACAAACTGTTTTTTGTTAGTTTTATACTTGTACACTTTTCCACGACACTTCTCGCTTATTTTCTTAATCAAAGTCATAACCCTAAATTGGTTTGGCCATTGTCTTCTGGATAATAGCGCGGCACCTYTAAGAGTGCAACGCTTGACTAGTATTAATTACTATATACCCTTTTTCAAGTGTCTTTAGAACCCCGCAATAGTTGTGTATTATCGGATTTGGTGTGAGAACTTAATTAGCAACTACCTGACTGTATAACTTCTGTAGATAGCACGCTCACAAAAGTTTGATTAATCCTTAGTTTGGGTCAGATGAGTGAGTCGGTAATACAAAGGAAAGAAAACAATATCGCTCTTCCATGTTAAGTTTTACAGTGCGGCATAGCACTATCACAGCTCTAAGTGCTTTTGTTGCAAACTGTCAACAAACAGGTCAAATTGGGCACTGAAAATGACCAAGAGCTGCTAATAGGTCCTTAGATCGATGTCAATCTTGTTATTGGTTAAATCATCAAGTGGAGACCTCAGAAAGACGTTCGACTGATCCACTTGTGGCCTGAGATGAATCGTTCTTTTCGCAGTTCGGTGTCTCAGTTAATGCAATGTTTAAACCACCACTTTAATTAGTCGCATTGTGCCTGTGTGTCTCGTGGAGAACCGGCATACAAGTCTTGAGGCTAGAGATTAGTCGAAAGAATAGCTAAAAAGTTAATCAGCTCGGTTCAGACACCTTTCGGAAAGATATCACAAATCTATGAATGATCGACCACTCGAGTGGGCTATTAATTTGAAATATAAACACTGAACATATATCGGAATATTGACATGTCTGTAACGGTTAAGGCAGTCTTCGGAGGATCATGGCCACAACGGGGGGTTTGTGGGTCAAAATAGACAATTATACAACCCTTGGTTTCGAAGCATTTGTCTAACCCACCCAGTAATCAAGCACTTCTAAGACCAATGACAAATATTGAGAAATCGTTTAGAAATGACACCTTCAAGTGTGAAGCTCAAATATTGACAAAGACGTGATAATCTCATTGGGGTGAGCTCTAAAGAAGCCAAAGAAAAGTTTCTCCAAGAGTTTGAACATTCAACAAACCCAATCGACGCTCCTAAGTTAACGCAAAATTCCCTCTAATTACAAATGAGTTGGTCTTCCGAAGGGAAGCTATTATCGAAATACTGGCAACTGATTGGTTTCGATCGAACCATAGAGCGTTCAAATATTTATCGTGAATTGGAGCCCCGCAGGCATTTTCGTCTTGATTGGTTGTTAAACTATCAATAAAGCTATGATGCCAATCAAAGGCCGTAGCAGCCAAGTTACAATAAAGCCATCCATCACGCTGCGCGAACAACATAGCCTAGTACAGATGCTCTGTGAAGTACAAGTCGGATTTGACTGAGATCTCAGCAAGGAGAGACAGAGTCGAATTTTAAAGTGATCTCTAGGAGCAATAGCCATCTTGAAGTAGTTATATTCTAAGCCATGACAACATTGTTGTGAAAAGCCATCGTCACGAGAGCATTACTCGCTAAGCCCGAACGTTTCTCCAGAGGAAGGACAAATAATTGAACAAAGACTATTTGGTTTGCCCATTCAGATTTTTACTTCCATCTCACGCAATTACGAACTTTAGGAGCGAGTAATCACGAGACGCTAGTTGGAGCTCCTGGTGTCTCTACAATGACTTCTTCACAAGATCCCTACTGTAACACGTCCAGTTCACACTTTTCTTTTTCTGTGGGACAAAGTACTCGGTCATCACGWCCTTCATCTCACGAATTTATTTTCGCTGGTCAAGAGAACTATTCTAGTGGAGCATCCACTGCTGTTCGACCGTCTAACGCGGCCATGGGACTCGCCGATGCAGGAGTTTCACGAGGAGCGAACGTCACTCGACAACACAATATCTTCCATGGTCCCGTCGTTCACCCATTGCATCCAAACTATGGCAGTTTGCAAGAGCCAAGAGATGGCGGGAACGGTTCCCCCCATGGATTCTTCTCTGTTGCTCACGCACACGATCCTCCTGCTCATTACCCAGGCAATGCAGGAACACTTAGCCCAGCATATCGATTTTCCAAAGGCCTAGAATTCTATCCTCGTGACGACAAGCTAGATCATACTCAGTATACGAGCCCGTTTGTACCGCCAAGGTATGAATACATGCAGCATCCTGGATTGTCAATGCCGCCAAGTTATCTTCGTCAACCGTTGAGCCACGTCGTTACTTGCGAGTGGATTGAGCCAGGAAATAAGGGGAAACCTTGCGGCAGACAATTCTTCCGTATGCACGATATTGTGGCCCATCTGGCTGAGGATCACGTTGGTGGACCAGAAAGCTCGTCACATGTTTGTTTCTGGAAAGAATGTCCACGGAACGGCTTGCCGTTCAAAGCCAAATATAAACTYATAAATCATATTCGTGTACACACGGGAGAAAAGCCGTTCCCATGTCCATTCCCAGGCTGTGGGAAAYTATTYGCTCGCTCTGAGAAYCTGAAAATTCATAAAAGAACTCATACTGGAGAGAAACCTTTCGTTTGCGAGTATCCTGGATGCGATCGAAGGTTTGCAAACTCGAGCGACCGCAAAAAGCATTCACATGTCCATACGTCTGACAAACCTTACATTTGCAAAGTGGATGGATGTAATAAAAGCTACACACATCCGAGCTCTTTGAGAAAGCACATGAAACTACACGCCAAACCATCAGAATCTGGGATCGAAAGCCCACAAGAAGAAGCTCTTTCAAACGGAAAGTCAAACACTGCTCCGTTCCCCTCTGCTTCTACATACCCCCCAATGTCGGAGTGGTTTAACAGAATACCCGGAGCTCCAGCCCATCACGAACACTATCATTTGGAAAACCCTACAACTATAGGTCCCAGTCAAACCGCTTTAGCGTCATACTGAGTAGGAGAACAAGAATTTCTCGACAATAAATTCAACGACTAGTTTTAGAGGTTAGGTCGAATKGAATGGAACGGCACGAATTTAGTGCTCAACCAAACAACAGAGTTCCTTTGGCTGAAAATAGTAAGCCTAGAACAATGCCGTCGACTGTTGGAGCTCCCGAAAGACAGCRAAAACAAATACACTACCCTTTTATACGTGAAATTTGTTAGACACTCAAATACGAGACAGCGAGACGCCAGCCACTTTAGGCACTTCAGGAAGCATAAGAAGGGAGACGGTTGTCCTAGATGTAGACCAGAGTTTTCTAAAAAATTGTCTGCTGTGCTACAAGAACCACTGATTTCACATGTAATTTCACGARCGAATCTATCATTTCATTCACTATTTTTTATTATTATTATGATTTTAAAGCAAATTCACTTAGTTGGGACCTTTTCGTCAAGAATKCTGTGAATTTGGTGTTAGGCTGACAATGTGAGTTGACAACACCGCTGATATATTTTAGTTAGTTTTCAAAAAGTGGTTTTATTTTCTTAAATGTTTCATTGATCGATTTATTTCCAAGAAACTCAAAGTTCTAATGTACATAGAAAATATATAACTGGAAGACATTAGAAAGAACCACGCAAAGATGGGAACCAATTTATGAAAAGAGCAAAATGTTGAAAACATTCTTGTGTTATTGCTGGCCGTAAGCCCCCACACACATTGATTGTAAATATGGCAAAAGTTTATAAGCTTACTAGACTTGAGACTCACACAAACGATGATAAAATAAAAAATTACCCAGGGCTATTCTATTTAGTGTAAGTTAAATCTTTTTCTAGGTTAATTTCGGGAGGATGTAGGTTTCGTGACTACAAGTGCAAAACATGGGTGGCTTGTTACTAATTGGCAGGCAGGTAGAACTAAGCACACTGGTTTCCTGTACTCCGAAAAGAAAAAAGAAATCCATAGCCATAACTAAAGTTGCAGAAAAGCTGAGGTTTACGCATAAGGTTTTTGTGTAGAAGCAAAAAGCACTTGAGTTGAGTGGGCCAATAACAAGAGAAACAAGAAGTGCTTCAAACACGTCTGTTTCAAAGTGTTTTTGTCATTCCTCAGAATCAACCTCACTCATTTAATTAAATTTTTCGAAAGATTGAACTTATAGGACATGCAGGAACGAGTATTTATCTCTATTCAAGATAAATTCTGTTTTATACAATAAACCGCCGCTTACAGCCTTAGGCGACGGCTTTTTCTTAATTTTTTCAAAGCCGAAATCGAGTCCCGCATGAACTTGAAATATCGTGCTTGTTGTGAATTATTGTTAACACATTGTTAGAATTCACAATTGGCTTTAACCCAAAGAGAATATGTTTTTAGTAAGAGATTACAGTACCCTAGTTTTCGCCGTACAACTCGTCTATATTTAGGTACTCGATATTGCGTCTGAAACAATATTTAGCATTAAGGAGTACAAATTTATAAAAAACTTAACAGTTTAGGATTTCAAACTATCATTAAAATGTTTGTTTAGGAATGATTCACAACGAAAGTAGAGTATCGAAAACAAACGACATTCCACCAATTACATTTTGTGTCTTATTAGCAAGCTTTGGATGGAAACTAAAGGTTCGTTGGTCTAGCAAAAGAGCCGCTTGCCACAAAGGATATAATTTGACAAAGCCGCTATAATTTGAACGTATTTGCCAAAGGCTATTTCAGAACAAATAAGTTCAACGCTATTATATGTAGCCGGTCAACCGATCGATTGCCGAACGCACCGAATCGTTGAAAATAAACGTTTGACAGACTATTGTAAATCGCAACCAATTTAACACCGCCGTGTTGTAGAAACAAAAGAAACCCCACACAAAAGAGATCGTTGTGTTTATAGGCACTCGAACTAATTGAAAAAAGAGCGGCCCTTTTGGACTTTGCTTGCATCTGGAAAATTGTTGTAGCAAACATCATGCACTCTAAACGCAAGGGAACCGGTTTTGATATTTCTTTTCACAAAACTAATATAATTACACTACACAAAACAGTGTAAATAGGTACCCTTTATACAAGCACTCGATGGGTTCGGAGGGAGGGATTCGAGCACAGCAGGCTTTAATACAAGTTGGTCATTTTGCTGACAGCACCACGCTGTGGGGGCCTTCCAATCCTTGAGTTTCAGACTAAATCTTTTAATTCTTAACCTTCTCTAGTTGAGCTCAGTTTACTTTACAACAGGCCRCGCTCAYGAGTCTCTWTTTGCGAAGCTCGAAATGACGCTCCGTATCCCCAACAACTTTCAAAATGGCGGACAAGTTGAGAATGATGTACTGACGTGGTTGAGAGAAGTCTAGAACATGCGTTTGCTCCTGTGGGAATTGATTTTGTATCAAAGAAAGACCAGGATTTGAGCGGACATATATCGCCGATTGAGGTAGGTGTTGAKTTAGCTGTAATACTAGGATCGTTTGGGCGTTTGCGATGACATTCGGTAACACGAAATGTGTCAGGACTTTAACACCTTAGTAATAGAATTTAACACCATTTCAATCGATCAACAATTCGTCCACCTCGTATGTGTACTCAACTACTTAACGCTCGAGTACTCCCGAACTAAATACACATTCGACATGTAAATGAATTTTGATYAGCTCCTCGCACTGAGTCTCAATAGCTCAATGTGATGGAGGTTTGAGTTTGAGTTACAAGGGCGAGAAGAGTCCGCACGTGTAGTCAATTCTGTCGCCTGAAGCCACGATATTCTTTAGCCGGGACCGAAAGTGAGATGAAATGTCGGCCCTCGAGGGGATATTTGCTAGCTATTTTTGAACATATTTATGCGGTAACTCTAGATTTTACAAATAATGTCCATCCGAATGGCGAATCAATCTTAATTTMGATGTGATAGATGCCACTTTTGAAACTCGAAACTGTTGGTAAAGTAGGTTCACTTTACTAGAAAATATAATAAAACCGAGCGTGACTCGAAAATACTTCTGATCTATTTCGTGACGGMTAGTAAATTATTAAATTCAAAACGCTTGTAGCTTTTATTTGCCTTAGTTGGTTCCAAATCCACCGCCACTGGATTCACCCTTAAGAGGACTTTTCCTATAGAATTAAAAAAAAATACTATTTAGTTGTCGCGATGTAAAACACATTGAATCAAAGCTTCTGGGTAAACAAGAAGCTGTTTTTGCGAGTTGAAAGGTTTTCTGAGAATCTACAGCCAGTGAAATTGTTCAATTGAAAATATCTGCGGTGTTATTCAGGTGTTAACAGCGTTTGATCGAGAAGGCCATCGCAGGTTCGAAAAAAAAAGAGATTTCTTTTTAAACAATGTGTGAAAACCCGACTTTGTTATTACAATTTCACTATGCATTGAATTCAAAACTAGCTGTTAAGATATGTGGGATTTCTCTGCTTTTGGATTCTGAAACCGTCTGTTGCACCGTGTGCGGTATACACTGACTTCAAAAAACATTCAAATACTAGGGTAAACTCATACATTTATAGCTAAAACCTATTTGTCGTCGTTTATGAAGAGAATACATTAACATAAAGGATTTCTCCTATTTGAAAATAAATATTGGTTTGAATAATATAAACAAATCAACTTAGAAATAATAATAATCACTTAATAATAATCAATTTTAAGTCGATTGGTAGCCAACCTATTTGGCAGGCTTGCTTTATTCCACAAAAAGATATCATTTTTTCAAACTTACTGATAATGATCTAAAGTAGGGGACTAAATACTAACGAAACCTTATTTCTGATGTCTAGTTTTTAGGGAAGGTGTAATTGGAAGCCTTAAAATATAGGACCAACTTACTCCTCATAATTTTCATTAAATGTAAAGCATACTTTGACTTTTATACATCAGAAATCTTGCAATATTTACCAGGCATGGCATAGTGTTTATTTTGATTGCTAAATAAATATAAATTGGCACAGGTTTATAGGATGTTTTTCAGCATCAAAATCATTGTGATATATTYACAGAGTCAGTTTGTTTTTATGTTGATCAAATAACCCTCAAAATGTCTCCAGTATCAACCTTTGTGCCAGCCTTTACACCTTAAATTACAAGTAGTATTAATTTATACACTTTTATAATAATTTTAATATAAAAAAACATTAATTTCAACCACCCAAACCAGCCAGTTTCCACTGACTTTGGACAACAAATCCTCAAAAAGCCCTAACTGCAATCCTCAAAGGGCTAAAATTCTCTCACATTTGATAGCTGCTACTGACCATGATATACACAAATAGACATTTTGCTACCTAAGTAAACTTGTTGCCATTAAATGCACTGTGATATTTAAACAGTGAGACTGAAACGGAATAAGGCTAGAATGTCACTGAACGATGTTGTAATCTTCGAAGCTTTTACGGTTGATCATTAAGGATCTTTTTTGGATGAAAGTTTGGKAAACAAAAACCTTAGGATTTTGTCTTATTAATGGATTTAAATCATAACATTTCGCACTCTTAGAATAAAAAAAAACGAGACGATTTTAACGTCTGACTCTAAACCCCTCTACAAGCTATACTCGTACCAACAAGGGGCTAAACTTAAGACCACTGTAGCTAATTTCTTTGCTAAGCAATCCAAATGATTAAAGCTCTTTGTCTAAAGAGTCCTCATAAGATTTGTCTGAAAATTGTAAGTGTAATTGGTTTAAGTGTATTTCGATTGTATACACTTAAATATTGGCCCTAATGCATATGTACTCAAGGGCCATAAGAACCAATAATAAACTGCCAAAAATGCATTAAACTCAAGTGCGGTAGGTAWTTTTTTATTGAAAAACTTCATCACTTATATAAAAAGTTGATAAATAATCCTAAAAAATAAAATAATGCATAAACAATTTGGTTAAATGGAATACGTAAGCTTTGGAATCGACTATAAAATGTGAATATATATGATAATAATATCTAAGTTTAGAAKTATTAATTATGTTTTTTGATATAAGTATTCCAGACTTGTGGGCTGATTTTTGTGCGCTCTCGCATATTTTATTTTATTGTATTTCACTTTGTTTTTATTTTTGTTTTGGATAAGAATCCCTCTATAKATATATATCATTAGAGAGATATTTTCTTGCTTGACGTATAAGCCTCATTGGAGATGTAGGTTCCGTGCTCTATAAGTTCCGTTTTTTTCTTGGTGTTATATTCCGTTGGTGACAGAGAACAATGCAAAATGCACGGAAAATTAATTAAGGTGAAAGAAAGTTTGGCAACTTTTTTTATTTTATAATTGACCGGAAATGACAATTTCTTCTCGCTCTCACGGAATCTCTAGTGGCGTTCAAAGACTAGTTTTTGATTCGTTATAAACTGTATTCGAGCTAGGAATCTTTTATATTGAAAAAATGACATGAGCGCATCTAGCTTTAGCTTGTTTCTTCGGAAAGCTGACTTGAGATAGATACGATGCCTGCTTTAGAGATATAATTCAATCCAGAGAAAGAGCTTTATGGACTGTGTGGGTAAATAGCTTTAAAGTTAGAAATGTTGAGTGAGCGAATCATTCATTTTGCTACGCAAGCTGAAACTACTAAAAGTACTGCCTTAACTACAATAAAAGAAGAATTTCAAGTGATGTTTTTTTTTCACGACATCTGAAAAAGCTTAGTTCAAAACACATAAACTTCTTTACCAATTTTATAATCTACTAAAYTTTAACTTCTATACTGGGACTTTATTTTGAAAAGTAAGAAGCTATTTGAATTGGAAAGACGAGTGTAAGTTATAGTTGTCAAAGAGTTCTGACCATCGACAACGTAAAACTATAAACACT